TGCTTTACAGAGATGTCTGCTTCAGCTAAAAGTTCTACATTCGAAAATAAGCGATATTGTGCGCTGCGAATGCACATAGCATATCACCGGACTTCGAAATTTTCAAATGCGATTAGAGTCCGGGGGACGATGCTGTCTCATCATAGACCGTGATTTTGACCATAGTGCCATCAGCGCTCTTCGATAAGTAAATGCATTTTGCATTGTAGATGTTGCTGTTTGCTATCGATAAACTTTCGAATACCTAAATATTGACTTTTAAGAAGTTTTAGAACAAAGGAACTTTGTTTTTCTTAGTATTGTCTAGGGAGCAGAGTGCGATAAAAGAAGTCTTTGAAGGAAGTATTCGTGATCTAATTTCTATTTTCAAACATAAGACAAAAAGTCTCCGCTGAATTCTCTATCGAAGGGTGTATAAATAAACCAAATCTAGTTTTTACTGCAAGTCTCCCTTACAAACATCTTAAATATGTAAGTTTTACAGAAGCAATAGAGATCGCGTTATTTTAAGGACTTGTTGCATCTCTACTCGGTCAACCAGTCACAATCGGGGAAGGTAATATTCCTGATCAGCTCGACGCAATGAATCACAATATATGTAAAAACACGAAAAATAAAATCTGGTCAAATTTTGCTTTACGTGCATCTTACACCTATCTAGTTTTCTGATCATTGGAACATTCATTTACAATGCATTAGATTACCTGAGAGACCAGTTTTAAAAGTATGCTTCCCTTATTTTAAATTTTATTTCGTTACTAAGAAAATTCATTTTTTCTAAATCAGAGGCGAAGAAGCCGGTTTTCTAGATACAAAGCTACAATCTATGCCAGTTGCAATTGTAATTACGTTGAAGAATGAAAACGATCAAATATTCATTCAAATATGTTATTCTGGTCTGTTGTAACACAAGTGGATATGTCCGATCAAGAACGAATACAAAACGCCACTGAATGTAAACAAAAAGTCAAGGATTTGTATAGAATATTATAAGAACGATGTTGAACTATCAATACTACTTTAAAACAGCTAAGATTTTTTTTGTACACAAATTAATTCTGAATGACACATGTTATTATTTTAGCTTCGTATCAATAGCCAAAAACACAAATATCGGTCAGGTTAAATCATATTAATGTTTAAGTCATTGAGTATGTAAAGCTGAACAACTTTCATTACACTTGGTTGTTAAACCGATACTCAAAGAATTGACCATGAGACGTGCTTTCCATACTTGCTTTCCAAAGCATATTTAACAACATCTTTCGAAAAGTAGACCTAATCGTTGATCAAGCTGTTCGTGGGCTAACTGATAAATCTGTCTTCAATAACTGTTTAACACGAGGTGCTATACGAGTTTCTGTGATGAATACGTCAAACTACAGTTGTTATTCTATAGTCCAAAAATAATTGATCCAACTAACTCTTTAGTTAACATGCGAAACTGGTATGAGTTTAAAATGTTGAACACGAACAAGGTATAAAATAATTTGATTTAAAACCTGATATCTTCAAGTACAAATGAGACGAGTGTCCGGACGAAATCAAAATTCCAGTTTTGATCAGAGTAAAAAAAAGATGAGACTTCGGACAAAATTAGAGTTTTCCTGTATAAAAGAGAGATTACAGTTGATAAAGCGAACAGATTGATGCTCTCCGTTAAAATCAAGCTCACAGTTTCTCTTATTCAGTAACGAATCATATCCACGTTCTTCATAAAGTAAACCATAGCTAGTTTGACGTTAGAGTTTCTCACTTGTTTTAAAGATCTTTTTATATCTGTTATGCGGTCAGAAATAAATTCATCCATTCATACACTATACATGTTTAATAACAACAAGAATAAGTAGCGAAGGATGACGAACACACACTCACCTTCACTGTAATCGTATTTTGATCTCTTAGTTGTTTTAAATGTTCATCTTTTCTTCATTCTTCTTGATAATGGGTAGTTCTACAAACAAGGAAAAGTATTGGAGGATTTATATATCTAAAAGAGAAATAATAGTTACCGCATTTGCAACCTTTTCTAATAAGAATTATTCTCCGCCAATAAAATGACGAATTTTATCTATCGCAAAACAATCTTTTAATGACATTATTTATGAACGAATAATACGTCTCTTATCTCCACCGGTACATATATTCATAGTCATTGTTCCACGCCAGTTGAAATTTATCGATTACTCGTCATTGATTATCCAACTCCAAAATATATTTAATAATTGGTTCGATTGTCGGTAATGGATCATCAATGATACAAGTATTTTCAGACACATACTGTGTGTCTGAAAAACTACCATCGCTAAACCGTACACTCGGTAAAACGTGGGGTTTAGCGACGGTTATTTTCTATACCATGACATGACAAAATATCGAGCGGTAAACCGGTTTTTACATACATCGTTTTGTTTTGCAGCGGCCGTTACATATAAGCAACGCCAAAAATCGAAAAAGCTTGATTTATTTTTAGTTAAAATTATTTTTTATTAATTATCAGACTCATTGAGATTTAAATTTCGACTCGAGTCAAACTTTTTCCTATTTAAAGGAGCCATTCTGCGCTTGTAAGCAGTCGATAAAAATATTAAAAAAATGAAAGTTTCAACCTAGTTTCGAACTCATATTGTATGAGTTAACAATGAAAATACCGCCAGTATTACCGACCTGTGACCGACTGGTACCGCTGATACTGCACAGTAATTTGCTGGTTAAGCGCGCCGTATACCCTTCGGTCCCCGACGGTATTTCATCGGTATTGAAGACATGGGTGCTTTCTGTTTCGATAAAAACTGAGGCCGAACTTCAAAATAAAACTTTTCCGGTTACATATCATCCTCGAGCGCTAAACTAAATACTTTGCCACTCATTTTTTTTAATTTTCCTTTTAATTACATAGAAGAAAAGAAAACTGACACAACACAGGTATAAATAGATTGGGTCAATCGCCCTTATTATTCAACTGTCTCGTGGGAGGATTGGCATACACCTGCTGGACGTACACCATTCTTCTTCCTCTTCTTATTTTTGTTTCGTCCCTTCTTTTGTCCTGTCGTCGCCGTTGTCGTTATTCTACTACCATTTCCGCCATTACCAGCGCTAGTTGCTCTATCACCTACATCACTGTCATTACCTATCACACTAATCGATCGCCCCATATTTTGTTTGATTTGACAAATTGTACGCATAAATATTGTTTTTATCTGTGGCGTTAACAGTAAAGTTACTAAATCCATTACGCATAAACCGAATGAGACAAATAACAGACTAACATGATAAGATAAATAAAAGATATCGCCTCGTCTTATATTCTCATAAGCATAGAGAATCATATAGGGTATAGCTAAGCCGGTCAGTGTTGCCAATGGTAGTATAATACGCTTTAACATATTAAATTCACGATTTATTGTTGAGATGCGTTGTACTGTTGATGTTGCTGTTTGACATAGTACATATAACCATACCCAAAGATAAATTGCCATTAATGTTAGACATGGTATAGCATAACATGTAAACACAGCATACAAAAAGTACAGCGTGTCGGTCATTAATGATACACAGAAGTATTCACTAGTCGCACGTCTATACCATCCTATAGCAGAATAATAATAGAGAGAAAAAAAGTCGAAAAAAGAAGTCGCTTGCACACAACGGTTCGCTGATCAACTTTAAAAAAATTTTTCTTTTTCATCGGAAAACTAATGCAAATCCATCTCTAGACGGAAACTTTCACGTTGATCATGGGTCTGTCCTTCTTAACAACTAAAATCCAGTTTTCTCACCCACAGAGGCTTTTTTAAAGATTTCAAATAGTTAGATCCAGCGAGCAGTTTTGTGTCAAACGAGATATAAATCGAACACTTTGCGCTTACGAGGAAAGGTCTCTAAGCGTGCAATCGCTCTTTCCTTTAGCTTTAGTGGACAATAGGTAATCCGCTGCGCTAAATCCGACTCTGACATCGGTTTGTGCTGTTAGGCCTCCAGAGATCGGGTTTCTAGAAAACCAGCTTTTCAGAAACTCTAAAAAATAATCAGAATCTTTCTTAATGAGGCATTATTGTAGACCGCAAATTTCTAACTAAAATGAGATATCTGCCAGCTCTACACAACCTTTCTTTGCAAAGTTATAGAATTTACAAGATAAGCCCTAAATTAATTTCTTCTAATTTCTGTAGCTTAGAGCTGACAATGAACATTTAGGGCTTTTCTTGTAAATTCTATAAACTAAGGTGGTGTAGGGCTGGCAGATATCTCATTTTAGTCAGAAATTTGCGGTCGACAATCATGCCTGATTCAAAAGGTTTTGATTACTTTTGAGAGTTTCTGAAAAGCTGATTTTTCAGAAACCTGGTCTCTGGAGGCCTAGCAGCACAAACCGATGTCAGACTCGGATTCAGCGCAGTCGATTACCTATTGTCCACTAAAGCTAAAGGAAAAAACGATTGCATACTTAGGGACCTTTCCTCGTTAGAGATATTAGCCGACACGCCGCACCAAAGGCGGCGAAAACTTTTATGAGTCATCGCCATCGCTGATAAGGAAAAAGTTTAGTTTGAAAAGTTTTAAAAAACTAATTTCTCTTAACAGCTTTTGATGAATTTTACGCCGCTGCTGTAGAAGACGGATGGAATATGCTTTGTTTGCTGCCACCATCAATTAACCAAAACTTTTTTCGCGCCGCAGGCTGATCGTTTTGTCGACTAACGGCCCTAGCGACAACTTTGTTTTTCTTTCTCGAGAAAGATCAAAAATCCCTACCGAGGAATAAAGGTAGTACAGAGACTAAGCCACCCATAATCCACTGTAATATGATAACAATTATATAGAATACTGCACTTTTTTGTAGCCATCGTTTTTTATAGAAAACAGTTGTAACTAGACGATGAAAACCTTGTAACATGTAAGACCAATAGACAGCACATGCACCACTGAAAAGTAGCCATGCACGTATTGTACACAGTCGATCGCTTGGTAGATTTACACCACCATCCGGTTTAGTTAAATCGGCACGTAGCATGTAAACATAGAGTGCAAAAATATTATAACATTGAAATATACATGCACAACAGGAATTACAGATGAGTAAAGTTGAAATATTGTATAATTGACGACGATTATAGATGATAATTGATATAATAATAAATGACCATATGCTACCGATGACAAGTGAAATTAGTGCTAAGATATCAATGAAGATGTACTGAGCAAATGAAGATGTCATAGTTCTCACAGTTTTATTGTAAAAATGTGCGCTATTGTTCGAGAAGAAGACAATGATGAAGAAGTTTGATTGTAGTGTTTGCGTAGTTAAGAGAAGGTGGATTGGTTTTCGTTACTTTACAACAGTTTTTTTAGAAATGTTAAGTTACCAAATTTCCATTTTTGTCAACTTATGGACCATCGATTTTCTAGAATTCTAAATGTGCAGCTTAAGTACTTATTGAAATGCATCTACAAAAAAAACAGAATACTTATCGTCGCTATCGGATGCAGTTGAGTTTATTTGACGGCGTCCATTTCTGTCGGGGAAAAAACTGTCTATGTTTAAAGCAGCGATTTGTAGCTTTCGAATTTATTTCAGTCCTGTTAGGTGTGAGGGAAGCCCAACTTTTCCTAGCCAATTTCAAAAAGTTGGCTAGGAATAATCTAAGAACACATTTACTTAAAAGAAGTAATCGAAATTACTCTCTGTTGGACAAAATTGGAAATGAGAAATGTCGTTTTTTTAAGTCTTTCTTCCACATCTTTCGTTTTCTCAGAATCCAAGAAAATTTCAACTTTACTTGTACAGACCTGAACGATGATGCAAGAAAAAACAGAAGATTGTCCGAGTGCTGGGAAAAAACCGATGCAAATCGATCGGTTCGAAAAATCAATCAAGGATGAATCGGGTAAACCGGTTGGTCCGATGCTTGTTTTTCTGTCCGGTTCCAGTTCCGCAGTGGTTAGAGTAAAAAGGTAAAGATAAAATAGATTTCCACAATAAATGAGATGTTCTATCGGTTTATAAGACTTATGCACAGAAAAGTATGTTTTCTAACTTCCTCGAGATTTTGCATATTCATTTTGAGTTTTAATCTCCTACTGTTTTGACAAACAACCGTAATGTGAATTTTTCCCACAAGGGATAGTTTTCCAGATGTTGTTTTAGTATTTTCATAAAACGTATCTGATTTTACTCAATTTCACGGAATGAAAAGCTGGAAATCGTATTGTCAAGTAGAACAAACATTTCAGCCAAAATCTGTTTTCAGATATTTATACTCCAGAAAGCCAAAGGGTCCAGGAATTTTGACTTTAACCGAGTGTTCATGCTCATAAATATAGAATCGACTATACTGATTATAAATAACACTCACAAAGAAGGAAAAACAATTTTAAATATAAGTACAGCTATTTAACAACTTGCACTAAATTGCTAACTTTTAAATCGGTTTCGTATGATAAATGGTTTTGTACCATATCCTTTCATTAGAAAGGGTATCTTACGAAACCTTTTAACATAAAATCAAAAAAACCACAGAAAAAACAATAACTGCACAAATAAATATGCTTTTTACTAAATTTAGACGCGTATCCCAAATCTTTCAATCGCTCGTTGTAAACTGGGAGTGTTCTCGAGCACATATCCCGAAGTAGCACGCATTTTTACACATTTCTCTGAGTTTAGATCACTTTTTTCATATGACGATAGAATTAAATCAGCACAATGCAAGCTGGCAGGCTTACACAATAAAAGCCAATTTTCTTGATAAAGTCAATACCTTCTTTTATTTTTTAAGATGATATTCGTGTTCTGCGTTAAAAGCTGCATGTGGTACATGTGGTTTTGAAAACATCTGAGAAAAAAAGTTTTCTGGAATCTTGAAGGGCATCAAAACCTCATATGGAAATTTTGAGGAACTAAGTAGAGGAATATACTCCTGACATCACTACAACACATTTCTTAGAGAAATCGAATGGTAAGAAAAAAAATTTCTATCTTTCTTCGTTCAGGAGATAATACCGTTCAAATTTTATGTTTCCATCACACGAACATTTTTTCCACTAATTGTACATCAGATGCTAAGAATTTTCAGGCAGTCAAGAGACATTCAAGTAAAAAAAGATCCTTAAAATTCACAGCATCAACCATTTGGAAGCGTCATTGATTCTTCGCAATTTCTCAATGTTCCTTCTATTTGATCAATAACCGTTCCTTGATTATTATAAAATGTTGCAGCATATGAAACAGAAGTCGACCGTCCCGTATTTATATCATCACATGACAATACGATAGAAAGAAGTAAAGAACTGCTGTAAACATTTTTATTTCATTTTATTTAGAAATTCTTACAGAATTAATATAAAACAAAATCAGATTCAACCTATTCTTAGGTCATCAGCAGGCAACAGTGAGAAAATTGTGAACATTTTGATAACTTCGTTCTTGTTTCTTTATTCTTTTCTTTTGATGTATTTGTGTATACACATATTGAAGCGCTTCAATATGTGTGTTCTGAAAGAACATGGGTAACTGTCACAAAAACCATGTACTCTCAAAGTACATGAATTGATCACTTGTTCTTATCCAGAAACTCATAATGAATGTTTTACTATCATTGAACGCCTTTCCATATGTTAACTGTGAAGATAGCTTCCTTTATAATTCTTCTTCTCAAGCGCAAGTGTTTCGACATTTTGAATTCAGAGCTTAACACTGAGGATTATTCATTGTTTTGTTTCTTTCACTAAAAGTTAATTGAAAAATAGAGAATGCCATCTTGAAAAAGATCTAGAGATTATTAGCAAAAACAAATCTTGTTAAAAGATTTAATCATTTTTTTGTCAATTTTACTTTTTAATGCACTTTTAAGACGATGAGCATCTCTTGTACTCTGTCGCGCACAGAGGTGGACGATGGACGATTATCCTCGCCAGGTGATCCCTGCGAGGAAGACTTTTTGAAAGCCTGCTCAGGCACGGGATGATGACGAGGCAAGAACTACACTAGGCGAACCTAATATCTAGAATCAATAGTTGACGATTTCTCAAAACTTGATGAGGCACAGGGTGATGACGAGTTAGGAAGTTTGCGGGACGACCTCCGCAGGACGCTAAAGGTAGTCCATTGCCCACCTCTGGTCGCCCAACACTTTTACTTTTCTTTTCACGTAAACAGCATCGAAATAGGGGGTTGGATAACTTTCATTAAAAAAACTTTCATTACAGAGTTTTTTTCAAATGAAAGTAACGGAACTTTGATTAGAATGTCTCGTGCAAAATAGCTGTGACGTAGACCATCTGACGGCACAAGAATTTCGTTAAAATTTCAATGAACTTCATTTAATGAAAAGTTTTCTAATAAAAAATTGTTTAATGAAACTCCAATATCCCGGAATAGAGTCGTACCTGTGAAGTAATGCCTCTCAAAAACTACTTGTTTTATACGCTTGTATAGTGTTTCCATCAAACGCGAACCACTTTTAGAAATTTAAATTAAAAATCACGTTAGATATAATGACAAAAGAAATAATTTGAAATTACTGACATGAAATGTAATTCTTTTATGTAGAGAGAGTGTTAATTAAAAAAGAAAAGGAAAGGGATTATTCGTAAAGAAGAATCACTAGAGATTTTAAACAAAAACAAACCTTGTTAAAAGATTTAATCATTTTTCTGTCGATTTTACTTTCTAATGCACTTTTAAGACGATGAGCACCTCTTGTACTCTGTCGCGCACAGAGGTGGACGATGGGCGATTATCCTCGCCAGGCGATCCCTGCGAGGAAGACTTTTTGAAAGCCTGCTCAGGCACGGGATGATGACGAGGCAAGAACTACACTAGGCGAACCTAATATCTAGAATCAATAGTTGACGATGAACTAGGCGATAACGGGGTAGAAACCTTTCGGCACGATCCCCGCTAAGTAGATTTCGCAAAACTTGACGAGGTACGGAGGGAAGACGAGGCAGAAAGTCTGCGAGACGATCCTTGCGTGGGCGCTAAAGCGAGTTCATCCCCTACCGCTGGTCGCGCAACACTTTTGCTTCTCTTTGCACATAAACAGCATTGAAAAAGGGTCGTACCTATGAAGTAATGCCTCTCAAAAACTACTTGTTTTATACACTTGTATAGTGTTTCCATCAAACGCGAACCACTTTTAGAAATTTAAATTAAAAATCACGTTAGATATAATGACAAAAGAAATAATTTGAAATCACTGATATGAAATGTAATTCTTTTATGTAGAGAGAGTGTTAATTAAAAAAGAAAAGCAACGAAGAGAAGAAAATAGTGTTGTCCTGAGTGTGTAAAGAGAAATACCTGATAATCTTTTTAACATCTGTAGCCAGATATATAAACTTGTATCGAATAATGGTGGATACCTGATAATCTTTTTAACGTATGTAATTTGTATAAACTAAAATAAATAAAATTAAAAAACCTAATAATAAAATATTAGCATTTAAAAATAATAAAAAATATAAAATATTATATTTTCCTTTAATCATAATAACTTATTTTCAGTCGCAACTTACACCCAACTATGTCGTCATCCAGCTCATCGCCCTCGACGATGAACAACGATTCAGCTCCGACTCAGACTGCTGAAAGTTCATATATTCGTCAAATAAAATTCTATGTCATACTACTAATAGAAATTCCATCGATTTTCTTAACAGTATTGATTTTATATTATTTTCTAATTAGATCAAGAAAAAGTTTAAAAAAATTACATAATCACGTTATTATTGCAATGTTAATAATTAATTTTATAATTACTTCAACGGAATTACCAATTACACTCTCATTTCTTCACCATGGAATAGTTTTTCCCGCAACTGATGGCTTCTGTAAATTTTGGACATTTTATAATTTCTCATTACAAGTAACAAGTGAATTCTTAATGACATTTGCATCAATTGAACGACATTTGCTGGTATTTCATCTACATTTAGTTAATGGTACACGTTTAAGACGTATCATACTTCATTACATACCGTTAATATTTTGTCTTTCATACGTATGGATCTTTTATTTTTCTACAATCATTGTCTATCCATACTGTAAGAATTCATTTAGTTATACGGTAATGCTATGTGGTTTACCGTGTTTTGAATTTACAATACCCTTGGGAACATACGATTGGTTTGCCGATAATTTAACAACAGCCGCACTAACAGCTTTGTTTAGTTTACTGTTACTCCTACGTTTTGTTCTACAACAACGACGTATGAAACGTACATTTAAATGGCATAGAAATCGTAAAATTGTTTTACAACTGATAACAATAGCTACACTTTATACAATTTTTTGGACACCACTATCAATTGTAGCTCTAATACAGATTATATGGATACCAACATTTTTACAAGACTTTCAAACGGAATATTTATACTATTTTCCCTACGGTGTATCACTATTTTTCCCGTTTGTTAGTTTAATATGTTTACCGGAAAAGTAGTATTAATACTTCGACAAGAATGCAAGTGTGATGGAAACAGTGGTGTTGGTGGTCAACAAGTTACAAGTGCGAAAACAGCTGATAAACGTGTAACTCGAATAACCAGAGCACAAATATTACCAATGAATACGATAAAAAGTAATTTACATTAAAAAAAGGATAACATGTGCATAACATTTTCCTTTCACGTGCTGTTGTATAGTATTCAATCAAGCTAGATATTTACTGAATGTTGTTTCTCGATACAGCGACATTACCGCGAACGACATTACCGCAAGACAATACCGCGAACGACATTACCGCAAGACATTACCGCGAACGACAATACCGCGAACGACATTACCGCGAACGACAATACCGCGAACGACATTACCGCCAACGCCAATACAGCGAGCGCGAGTACCACCCTAACACATAAGAAGATTAACACGAATCC